GCACATATTAAAGTCCCCACTTTATAGATGAGAAAATGGAGGCAAAGGGAGAATTGCTCATGGTTATATAACCACTAAATGGCATAGTTAAGATTAAAACCTAGATTTTGAATCTTAGAGAATTCTATTCATTACATCATGCTATTTCTCCGAAAAGACTAATATTTTGCTATCTAATGAAAACCCAAGAATTTCGTTCTAACTACACACTATATGTCAGAGATTATATTGAGGGAGGAGAGAGAACATTAAGGTTTAAACTGTTCTACCATTCCTTAGGAAGTTTACATTGTTACAAATTTATGTCATCAAAATAATTGTCCCGCCGGGACCGGTTTGGCTCAATGGATAGAGCGTCGGCTTGGGGACTGAAGGGACCTGGGTTCGATTCCGGTCAAGGGCATGTGCCTTGGTTGCGGGCATATCCCCAGTAGGGGGTGTGCAAGAGGCAGCTGATTGATGACTCTCTCTCATCGATGTTTCTAACTCTCTATCTCCCTCCCTTCCTCTCTGTATAAAATCAATAAAAAAAATATATATATATATATATATATATATATATCAGAATCCAAAAAAATAAAAATAAAAAAAATAAAAAATTGTCCCAATAAGGAAGAAAGCACTTAGACTAGAGATTTCAAATGTGCAACAATAGTAATTTCAATAACAGACCTTTAAAAAGTGACTTGGCCCTTACTGGTTTGGCTCAGTGGATAGTGTTGGCCTGTGGACTCAAGAGTCCCTGGTTCATTTTTAAAAATATATATTTTATTGATTTTTTACAGAGAGGAAGAGAGAGGGATAGAACTAGAAACATCGATCAGCTGCCTCTTGCACACCCCCTACTGGAGATGTACCCTCAACCAAGGTACATGCCCTTGACCGGAATCAAACCTGGGACCTTTCAGTCCGAGGGCAGACGCTCTATCCACTGAGCCAAACCAGTTTTGGCAAGGGTCCCAGGTTTGATTCCAGTCAGGGGCATGTACCTTGGTTGCGAGTACATCCCAGGGGATGGGGATGGGGGAGGGGGGGTTGGAGGGTGTGTGCAGGAGGCAGCTGATCGATGTTTCTCTCTCATCGATATTTCTCACACTCTATCCATCTCCCTTCCTCTCTATGAGAAAAATCAATAAAATATATTTTAAAAATAAAAAGTGACTCAGAAGTAACCAAGCAGAAAACCTAAGGAAAAACAACATGGAACAGATGCAAAATATGCTCACATCAGCTCAAGAAAAATGGTTCTTATTTATTCATCATTAGTAGTATAATTAGCATGGCTCAACATATTCCTAGTTTATCACCCACTGTGGAAATAAAGAACTTCTCAGTTATAGCAGGCATGGCCCAGCTAGCATGGCTCAGTGGATGGAGCGTCGGCCTGCGGACTGAGGGGTCCCAGGTTCAATTCGGGTCAGGGGCATGTGCCTTGGTTGCGGGCACATCCCCAAAGGAGGGCGTGCGGGAGGCAGCTGATCGATGACTCTCTCTCGTCGATGTTTCTAGCTCTCTGTCTCTCTCCCTTCCTCTCTGTAAAAAATCAATTAAAATATATATTAAAAATTTTTTTTGAACTACGAAATATCCACATTGTAAATTCCCATAGAATACATTCTAGTAACACAAAAATGATTAAGAACACTGAATAGCTTCTAGTTTATAAGAAATGTTAGAAGAGAGGGATGAACAAAACAAACCCATGAGGAGACAACCACCAAGAATGTACATTCTTTAAGACTCTTCAAAGGTCTAAATCATGGAGGGAAATGTGGGACTAAAAAGAACAAAAGATAAATAAAATGGAATGTGGAAATCTGGACATGATCCTGTTTTGGAGTGGAAAAAAGAGTTGAAAATAGATTTTTGGGACAATTCAGGAAATAGGAGTAGTCTAGGAGTTGGATGAAACTAAGAAATTGTTTTATTTTTCTTAGGTATGCCTATGTAGGATATTGTCTTTATTATTGAGAGAGGCTTGTTGAAGTAATTAGGGTTGGGTGTCATGATGTTACCAAGAAATTGTAAAGTTCGATTGTTAAACTATCAACAACCCACGAATCTAGGTAGAGGATGTGGGATCCCTTAACACAACCCGCATGGTTCAGGCCAACTTAAGAGTCCCGTTTCTGGAGAAGGCCGCACACTAAAATGAAGAAGCTAGAAAACAGAAAATGGGGGCCAGACGGGAGACTACCTCTTGGGGAGGACTACTCAGATGCTCTGGCCTTTTACCATTCCTTTTATTGAGATTCTGAGACAAAGACATCTCTTAGGTGGGAAATTCCAACAACAGAAAATCAACAAGAATTCACATATGATCAACAAATTAAAGTTGCCTCAACTACCACTATCTCAACTAGATGATTCAGAGCCATCAAGATTGGCCAGCTCTTTTTACATTTTACTACCAGGGAACAATGTTTGGTTTCCGGTTAGCCAGCTCTTTTTACATTTTACCACTAGTGACTCAACCTTGACAATGAGTTAATAGCTCCGGCCATTCAGAGCCATCAAGGTTGACCAGCTCCCTTTACATATTATTACCAGTGACAACGTTTGGTTTCTGGCAGAGGATATATGGGTATTCATTCCATTCTTCCATTTATTCTGCATGTTTAAAATTTTTCAATAATAATAGCTGTAGGAGGGTAGAAAATAATTATGTGCTAAGAAACCAGGAAAAGATGCCATAAAAGAAATCTTGATCTTGGTTCTGAAAGGGAAGAAAAAGAGGCAGAGCTTTACAAAAGGCACAGGTTTCATTTGAAGTGAGAATATGACAAAATTGGTCAATTTAAGACAGAGCAAGTGATGAAGATTAGTAGGAAATGAAGTTAGGGCCCAGCCAGCACGCTCAGTAGTTGAGTGTTGTTGACCTATGAATCAAGAGATCATAGTTTGATTCCCGGTCAGGGGGCACGTTCCCTAGGTATGTGCTTGATCCCCTTTGGGGGCATGCAGGAGGTAGCCAATCAATGATTGTCATCACTGATGTTTCTATCTCTTTCTTCCTCTTTTAATGAAGAGGCTGAATAGAAGTCAAGTTATTATGAAAAGTCAAGAACATTATCATTTTTACCTTAATTTGTTCCTCACTGATACTAGGAGTGTTTTTCAGGAGATTTAGGAAAACTCCACCTGGTGTTCTTCTTCGACTACCATTCTAAAAAAGAAACAAAAAATATACTTTATAGACCTTCTCAGGAATGGCCAAAGTATCTTGTCAACAAAGATGTGCCTAAGGAGACAATGAGGTCACCCTGATCACTCCGGCTTAACTGCAATGCCCTCCTTGCCTCTCTGTACCTACATTTGATCTTTCTTTCCCCACAGCACTTAACACTGTCTAATACACTTAAAGATATTCCTCTTACTTTCATAGACTGTCTTCTTTCACACACACACACACACACACCCGCCAATACACTATAAGCTTCTGTGCCTGGCACCCAGTGATAAAAAGGAATGAATGCATCAAAAGAAAGTGAATTTGAAGTTCTATCTTCCCAACATTCAGTAGATTTGCATTAGCTCGCTGGAATATAAAGTTTTATTACATTACTATAGAATTAAAACACTGATGAACCTATAACTTTGTGCTCAACTAAATGAAAATCAAAGTACTTTAACAATGACACAAACAGAAGGGCCAGTACAGACTATTACAATTGGTTTTGGGTTTTACTTCAGTGATCTATGTTCACAGTCTGTTTCCTCAGCCAGTGCTATCAATTCTAATTGGTTTCCACAGCATAATATTGATTTACTCTCTTGTGATGTTATTATTCAGATTTCCGAAGAGTAAATAAGGAAGCCATTCAAACTTCATCCTCACCCGGAGGTGAAAGCTGAGTGAAGTGAGATCTGTAAATCATTCTATGGGATAAACTGGCGCTGCCTGGGATCTGGCCCAGCCAGAGAAGTGCTCTTGCTGCCGTTCTGAAAAGGTAAAGTGTTTCTCAGCTGTTTTTTTTCTATAATTGTTTCTCCTACTGCAGGGAGCCTTTAGACATTTTCCTATTCACCCCACCACCCATGAAATTTTAATACTCACAGTTTCTATTGTGCATTTTACATAATAAGGTTTTTCCTTTTGTCCCCAAGAACCAATTTTGAAGAATGCATGAATTAAACCAAAAGTAACACTTCTGTTCATCACTGCTAACTCAGTACTGGGTCCTGTTGATAGGCACCTCGTATGTATCATCTCATTTCATCCTCGCATTAGTCGCCATTTTACAGCTGAGGACACTGAGTCTCTGAGAAGTCAAACAACTTAGGCAAATCTCATACCTAGTAAGCTACAGATCCTGAACTCAAACAATGAACCCCTTAATTCCAAAATCCATATTCTTAAAATCTGAGCTATGGGTTAGTATGTTGTCTGCACACTAACAGGCTACAATTTACATATTTTTTTCTAAGTATTAAAACTGACTATACTTACTTTTTTATTCAGTTTTCATTGTTAACAAAGTTTTTTAAAATCTCAAACCAATAATTTATGAGCCAACAATCAGAGACAATTTAATTTTGTAAATACATCATATTAAGCACAATTAAAAATGAAAACAATGAAGCTCTTAGTCTTACCATTATAAAAAGGCCACCATTTTGTTCTATTTCAGCAGTTTCCATCAGAAGTTCAATTGCCTTTTTGTTCCCAATAATACTCACTACTCGGGCTATCAGATCTTTCTTTGGTTCCTGCAACCTGATAAGGAACAAATAAAGTAATATTAACCTCTTTTATTTGTTATATAAAGTTGAAGAAATCTACCTTAGTCTCATTGAGTCAACTAGAATTTAAGTCCTATTCTAATAACAATTACTTTTCAAAAATCTCCAATATTTAACTTTGAAATTGATGACCCGGAGACATTCCTATCTTGGGTCACCCAAAGAGTAGTAACCTCAAGATTTCATCTGAAGTTTCATAACTGGACTCTTCACTTCGCTTTATTGGGTTATGATGGATTTCAAAGTAAACATGCACAGTGCTTGCTTAAGCAGCACATATATTAAAAATGGGAGATACAGAGATTAGCATGGCTTTTGTGCAAGGATGACAGGCAAATTCATGAAGCGTTCCATATTTTTTTACATTGATGTTTCTCTCCCTTCCTCTCTCCCAAATTAATAAAAACATTTATTTTAGCCGAAACCGGTTGAGCGTCGGTCTGCAGACTGAAAGGTCCCAGGTTCAATTCCGGTCAGGGGCATGTACGTTGGTTTCGGGCACATCCCCGGTAGGGGGTGTGCAAGAGACAGCTGGTCAATGGTCAATGTTTCTCTCTTACTGAATTTTCTAGCTCTCTATCTCTCTCCCTTCCTCTCTGTAAAAAATCAATAAAATATATCTAAAAAAAATAAAAACATTTATTTTAAAAGTACAATAAATGTGCATATACACTGAGGGGAATGCAAGCCTAAAAGCAAAAGATAAGATAGTTCACTCCTGTCAAAACAAATAACATATACTAGCTTTCAATTATTAAGACTGAAAGTTAGCTCTCCTAACTTTAGAGATATCTGGACAGGATTTTCTCCTCACAAGCTCCCCACTTCAGAACAAAAGGTATGGCTAATATTCAATGATGACTTATAGGATAAGCACAATCCTAAGAGCTTTATATGCATTATCTCAGTTAATTCTCTCAACAATCTTAAGAAAGAGGTAATATTACTTTCACTTTACCACTCAAAATTAAAAACACCAGGAATGTCCTAGCTAGCTAGCTGGTTTGGCTCAGTAGATAGAGTGTCAGCCTGCTGATTGAAGGGTCCCAGGTTCAACTTTGGTCAAGGGCATATGCCCAGGTTGCAGACTTGATCCCCAGTAGGGGATCAATGATTCTCACTCATTGATGTTTCTATCTCTCTCCCTCTCTGAAATCAATAAAAATACATTTAAAACAAAAAACAACACCAGGAGCCTAAGTAATACTTTTAAAGTCAGAGCTCACTCTCTAGAGAGGAAGGAAGATTAATATTGCAGAAGTCTACCAGTTCCCTAACCGGCCTGGCTTCCTGTTTCTCCTCAATAGGAGGCAAAGAGCACTAGACTAGGAAAAGGAAACCAGAGTTAATTCCAGGTCTGACACATAACATTTGTGACTTTGGGCAAGCCACGCAACTACTGGGCTTCAGTTTCCATATTCTACAAAGGGAAAACTTTGTTTTACAAAATCTAAGTTCCTTTCCAGCACTCAAATTCCATATTCCTCAGAAGTTTAAAAATCCAGTATTGACAGGCTTGCCTGGAAAATAAATGCTGTTTTCCTTCTAGCTTTATTACTCTTGAATCATACTTGTTTTCAAATTTGTGACTATTCATTAGTGATTAGAACTTATGAAAGTTAAACAAAATTTGAAACATGCAATGTTAATTTGCATCAAGCAATTCTACTCTAAGGAATTTATCCAAGAGAAATGAAAATCGTGTCCAAAGATCTGTATGTGAAAGTTCATAACTTTATTCAGAGTAGCCAAAAGATGGAATAGCCATTCAATATGGATATGTGTGTGTGTGTGTAATAAATAAAACATTACACTACATAAAAGAAGCCAGGCATAAGAGACCACACGTATAATTCTATTAATATGAAATGTCCATAAAATGCAAACTTATAACTACAGAAAGTGGATTAGCAATTATCTGGAGATGGGGACAGGGGTTACTTTTAAATGGGCATATGGATATGAGGGGGGGTCTTTTATTTTTTTTTAAATATATTTTATTGATTTTGTACAGAGGGGAAGGGAGAGAGATAGAGAGTTAGAAACATCGATGAGAGAGAGTCATCGATCAGCCGCCTCTTGCACACCCCCTACTGGGGATGTGCCCGCAACCAAGGTACATGCCCTTGACCGGAATCGAACCCGGGACCTTTCAGTCCCCAAGCCGACGCTCTATCCATTGAGCCAAACCGGTCTCGGCTGAGGGGGGTCTTATTGGAGTGATGGAAATGTTTTGAAAGTGGTTTATGGTGAGGGTATACAACTGATAAATTTACAAAAGTATTAACACATGATTGAAATGTGTTAATTTCAATATTAATTTCATATTGTACTCTATGTACAATATGCCTGAATCATATAACAAGTCATGAATGCTTGAAAACACTCAAACCCTCCCCATGATTTAAAAAGATTTTTTTTAATCTAAAGAGCTCTATGGCACTAGATGGAAAGAGCTGCTTATGAGTTCATAAAAGTTTGTAAAATTCTATCAATCTGTCCAAATTTAATAAACTACAAATATATTCACACAACCAAATAAGCCCAGAGTTCGTTCCTTAAATTAAAAAAAAAATCTTAAAAAGGAACATTATCATTAATGTATTTGGAATCTATTTTATTTCCTATAAATGGTCAAGAGCTCATTTGTATGAAAATTTTAATTGCTCACCTGAAAGTAATTTCATCAGCCACTCTCTCCTGAGAATCATCCTCTGTGATCTCATACCGGCCTTTATAGTTCATTTCCAGTCTGTCCCCCAGTCTGTCTTTGACAGGTCGTTTCCGTTTGAGATGACCTTGCCCATTTTCCTCTTCCTTTGAGCCTGTTTTCTTGCCATCTTGCATATATTCATCTAGCTCTTTGTCTAATTCTATTGTCTGTTCTTGAGATTCCCTCTTAAGTTTCTTAGCAAGCAAATAATTGTAGGCCTCGCATTGTCTGCTTTTGTCAATAGTGCCTTCCATTTCCAAGATACCAAGTTCATTGGCCACCGAATCTTGAGTCTGCTCCTGCAGCACAGCACCCCAGATGTTGTTCACCTTCTTCCCTCCACCAAAAGGTGGTTTCTGGCTACCCTGGCCAAATGGAAAGGGCTCTAGTTTGGGAGGGGGGTTGAAACACTTCTGCCGCTTGCGTTTCCAAAGAGAGGTATCATCATCTGAATCAGAAAAACTCTCTTCACTGGAGTCTACACCTTTAACAGTCCGATAATGTGACACTGGTGCATAGGCTGCTGCAGTGCCCTGGAAGGGCCTCACCGCACTGTCCCCAACTAGTGCTTTCTGGAAGAGAAAGGAAATAAATCAATTCCATGAAACACATCTACTCCACCCACCACGTGCTTTTTAAAGAAAAAAATTATTTAGGGATTCAGCTGGACCATTTTGAAGCAGAACTGATCTTCAAAAACATGAGAAACCAATTCAGTCCCTACTTTTCTAAAGGTCCATATGGAATTTCCAATTTTAAATTATTCTTTATAGAGCTAATGCAGAACTTAGTTCTAAGGCAGTGGTTCTCAACCTTCCTAATGCCACGACCCTTTAATACAGTTCCTCATGTTGTGGTGACCCCCAACCATAAAATTATTTTCGTTGCTGCTTCATAACTGTAATTTTTCTATTGTTATGAATCGTAATGTAAATATCTGTGTTTTCTGATTATTTAGTCACCCCACTGGTTAAGAACCACTGCTATAGAGCTTAAGACCATCAGAAAACACAGATATTTGCATTACGATTTATTAACAGTAGCAAAATTAGTGAAGTAGCAGCGAAGATAATGTTATGGTTGGGGGTCACCACCACACTGTATTAAAGGGTCGAGGCATTCTAGAAAGGTTAAGAACCACTGTTCTAAGGCCTCCTTCTAAAAAATTACCAAAGCCCTTCATTCTCACCTTTAGAAGATTTGCAATCTTTTCAGTTTTGTCAGAAAGCTTAAAAATGATATACACACTAATTGTTACTAGTAGTTAAAAGAGAATTTTTCACTCTTTTAATATGTTCTTTATATCAGAGAGAGAAGGGAGAGGGAGAGAGATACGCAAACATCGATGAGAGAGAAACAGCAATCGGTTGCCTTCAGCACATCCCTCCCTGGGGATCCAGCCTGAAACGCAGCAGTTTCCCTGACCAGAATTGAACCAGTGACTTCCTGGTGCATGGGAGTTTTGATCAACAAACTGAGCCACACCAGCCTGGCCAGAATTTGTTGTTTTCTTCCCAAATATGCCTTTCATTCTTTCAAACACTTCAACTTCCTTTTCATGGTTTTGTGACTATACTTTTAGACTAAATAGTAAACTATGGGTAGGAATCCCGGACTTATTACTTTTAAGCCCACCCAGTGTGGCTCAGTGGTTGAACATTGACCTATGAACCAGGAAGTTACTGTTGGATTCCCAATCAGGGCACATGTCCAGGTTGCGGCTCCATCCCCTGTAGGGGTTGCCCAGGAGGCAGCTGATTAATGATTCTCTTGTATCATTGATGTTTCTATTTCTATCTCTCCCTCTTCCTTCCTCTCTCTGAAATCAATGAAATATATCAAAACAAAGAATGCAGAGCCCTGCCCTGGCCAGTGTGGCTCAATAGTTACAACTATTGGCCTATATACACCACAGGGTCGCAGTGCCATCTCCCTCAAGGGCACCTACCTGGGTTGCAGGTTCAGATCTCGCTCTGGTTGGGGCGCATGCAGGCAACCCACATATCCATGTTTCTCTGTCTTTCTCTCCCCACCCCTCCCTCACCTTCCTCACTCCCACTCTCTAAAAAACAATGGAAAAAATATCCTCCAGTGAGGATCAACAACAAAAATGTAGGGCCCATGGCGTTAAATTTGCCAAGTCATTGGTCAATCTGTAAAACCTGGAAGACATTGAAAAGCAAAATACCTCGGGCGTCATTTCAATGCAAAAGAATCACCTTTGCTTTTTGTACTGAATACTAAAGAAATATTTGTTTAACTATTATGTGCTAGAAATGGGGGGAAATTAGGCAATTTTCCTATCTTTTTCAAATAAATTTTTGATGTTTTTAGAGAAAAGAGGGAGATATATATATCGATCGATAGACAGACAGACATATATATATAAATAAAAGAGAGAAACATGATGTGAGAACGGAACCTCCACGGTCTGCCTCCTGCACGCCCCGGCGGGGGTCGGAGCCCGCAGCCTCACGCCGGCCGGGCATCTCCCTCTCCCAGAAACAATGGCAGCTGACGTTTCTCAGGTGGCCGGCGCCCTGGATGCTGACAGCCCGGCCTCGGCGCGCCGCTGCATCCCCAGCCCCGGACACGTGCACCCTTAGGCTGATAACCGGCCCCGTCCCAGCCGGCGCCGAGGACCGAG